TTTGTGGTGGCAACAATCTGAGCTTTGAAATTACACTTGTAGACTTAAGGATGTCTTAGGTATCTGGACTAAGCACAGGAACCACCATGAACTTTTGTATGTCTATATATAGGAGTACAGCTGCACTGGTAAGCTAGTTGCGGCCAAGAAAAGTTCACATGGCAAAACTTTTTTAACATAAAAAGGCTGCAAGGAAGCAAAGACAGACTACAACATTTGCGCAGCACTGCACATTTTAATGAACGAGTCTTAATTCTGATTTATTAGATCTTAAGATAAAGTGATCTTGTGATAGCAAACATTTTTCATCTAAAATGTATTTTAAATGTAATAGTAGACATGTTGCCAAATTCTGCCTGTATACAAATCACTGGAGAACTCTATATATATATATAAAATGTTGTTTTATGATACATAGAGTTTTATTAGGGCTGCTTAATTAAGGGGTCTATTTAATGTTTTATATCTCTGCAGCAACCATAACTTAGGGAATTGCTACTATTATCAGCCAACACTTATTTCTGCCATTTTTGGACTCGACATTAACATTCTCTTCTGGCCCCTTTTACTGAAATGTGTTTGTGAGAGTGAAACATTAAATAATTACAACCATGCAAGGATGCCACTTTTTGTCCAAGCCAGTCATTGGACATACTGGCAACGATGGGGCATCGCATACTAAAACCAAGATGGCTCATCAACTCTTATCTATTTTTAACTCACTGGATACCTCTCCTTCCAATGTTCCCATCCTTTCAGTGGAGGCTGCCAGGGAGGATGGTGAGAAAAACAGGCGGAGGTGATATGTAATTACACTGAATGGATTCATCTCCTCACATCCTTTCATTGTACCCACACACTCTGATAAAATGAAACGGAGGGCAGGCTTTTCTTCCATTCACCATAAATCGTACAAGTCGAGCCACTCTTATTTATGGTGTTTGAGACAACCCTTTGAGCTCGACTCATGGAGACTGCAAAGTCACAGAGTGTAGTAGTACCGTATGTATATAGTATAACACCAGCAGGAGGCCAATGTCAGTGGTGGCATTGACTTGATTAAAAAATGAATAGATGATTGGATGGATGGATGATTGGATGGAGGATGGATGGATGGATGGATGGATGATGGATGGATGGTTGGATGGATGCACATCTAATTATGGTAATAACTTTAGGGGAAGTTTAGTAATTTTTTGTTTTCTATTTTAATAAAAACAATGTGTTTGGAAATGTATTCATCTTCCTTTGGCTGCAAGAATGTAAGCATGTCATGAAGTTGAAAATTTCTAGTTGTATTATTTTAGGACCAAGTGCTTTAGTGCGGCGTCTACTCACCTATTCTTCTCCAGTTCATTGTGTGTGGACCTGCAAGAACAGAAAAAACGTTCATGTTAGCAACAAGCAGACAACATAATGAGTCAAAAGTTTATATTTAATGCAACGTGACCAGTGACAGGTTGTTGCTATCACAGAACAGCAAAAGGCTTTCATTAGTCATCTACAGACACCGAGCAGGAACTCCTGTGTTTACATGTCTCATTCTGACAGCCTTACTCTTATTTACTATAACAGCAAAGACGTTGTGTATGGTATGTATGGTTATGCCCCAAGGGATTCTTTTATGGCTAAGATGATGATACACTCTCATTTGCACACTTCTAAACACAAATATCATTATAAGTATTTATTAGTAGCAGCCAGTTTACTAATATCTGTTACTTGCATTGTTGACGGCAGCTTGGAGTGCAGTACTTGTGTAATCAGCTACCAGTGTAAATAAATTCATTATATGTTCTAACTGAGGCGTTAACTATAACTTTATAGTAATATGCAATTACCATCTTTTAAGATTTAGTTGTAACATGATTGATGTATTTTGATGCAGGGAGTAATTTACAATACTGTGTAAAGCAGTACATTACTATTTTTAGGTAGATAAATTAGTTCATTTTAATTAACTGTAAATCTAAAGATGGCAGGGACTTGGTTCAGCCCTGATCAAATGTCAACTGTACTGTCATTAATCTGTCATTCAAAGAGGACAATCAAAGATCGCTGCAAAAGATTCCCAACAAAAATCTTTGTTCCAGCTTTCTGAATCAGATAGATGCACGTTGCATGTCTGCACTTCATCAATAAGATAACACAAATTATAAAATGGCTCGTTGCCACTTACCACTAAAGCATTTTCTCTATACAATCTCCCCTTGGAGTGCATGTGTGTGTGTGTGTGTGTGTGTGTGTGCGTGTGTGTGTGTGTGTGTCTTATGTTACTCTAATGTACTCTAATGCACACGAAGAGTAGGTCAAAGAGATAACGCACTGGTATAAACACTGTTAAAACAGAAGGCAAAAGAGGACAGAGACAGATAAGCTAATCACTAAACCCAAACTACATATAGGCTGCTAAAACAGGAGCAACCCAAGACGACACATCGTAGCCTACCAAAAAAATGTATGTGATGTGGGACCAGATATATCTCTACAAGGTCAGAATGGACTATTAAATATGTAGTTGTTATCAAAAACAGCACACGTCATTTGCTAATGTGATTTCCTTTCTGATGGATTGTGATTTGTGCTAGTTGGGGAAAATATTCTCACATATATTCTGGCAAATAGTAAAAGAGTAACATCGCACTGAACAAACACTACATAGCAGCGTGTGTCACACTAGAATTCTCCGAATAAGTACAGTTCCTGTGAGAATCAAAGGGATTGCAACACCACATGAGGATTGGTGAAAGGTGTCAGGATGCTAAATGCTGTTATCTCACCAAGTAAGTTGTGAATGTGTGTCTGAGATCAACACCAGACTTCATATCTCTTGCGAGTTTTCCACGCAATTTTTTTTTCTTCTGAATTGACACTATGTTAGAAGTTTAAAAAATATATTTGCCAGACTGTGCATCAGATGAAATGTCGAGTTATGATCAACTTAAATGACAGAATCTTCGTTTCCACCGGTCTGCAAGTCAACAGGCTCACGTGTTCCTAGTCAAAACACCCGGTTTGGTGACATGTCGGTAAAAATAAATAAATACATTTTCACCATAGGTGCTGTCACAGAGGCCCAACTCTTGTGGACAAGCACCAGCGCATGCATACCTCAAAGACAAATGGGGAAAATGAAAAAGAAATTCAATTTTGTGACTTAGTCATTTTATTTTTAAATAATTTTGGAATCTTTTATCTGTATAGTCATTGTAATTATAAAATTGTGGATTATAAAAATAGAAAATTGTTCATCAATAAGGCGAAAGGAAAGATTGAGACCGTGTAGATTTGTCTGACATGATCGTGTCCTCAGAAATAGAGTTTTTTTAATCATGACTGTTGCTATGCAGAACTAGCATACAGGCTTCCTCGCTCTCGATGAGTAATGCACAGTTCCTGTTTGTGGCCTGATCCTACATTAATATTAAGAGAGAGTGAGACGGGTCCTGGTATCTTACTCATTGCTGTTAATAAACAGATTAATGTTAGCAGGAAAAAAAGCAATGCCAGTGGGTCTTTTCTTGCTCCAATTTTAAGTTCCTACAGTTAGTGTAAGCATAAAGATAACAAGAGTTTCAATCTTGGTGTCAGAGAGAAAATAATATTAAATGACAAAATAAAAAAGACTTGTGGTTCAGTGTGTGGCATCCACTGAGAATTGCACCCACAGTGTGCTTTGCAATCGCATATGCACAATAAAAACGGAAGGTGTTTGTAATAAAGTACTGTTAAATTGCAAAGGCAAAGCACACGTTCACAGATGAGCCCAAATAAAACACAGGTACTGAATAAGCCTCCACATAATCACCTTTGCATGTTGGCAAACAACAGTAGCCATAAATAGCAGCTTTTCATCTACAGGGCACCCTACATAACTACCAGCCCTTCTGCGTGTGTAGAACGAGGATGACACGCGAAAGCAAGAGTGACTGAAATGTATTGCCAAACGAATTTGAACTGAACAATTATTTTTAAATATATCTGACCAGGAAAGAGAGTTGGTCGCAAAATATATAAGAGGTTTTTCCCTTTTTCGGGATGTCACTTTCACCGCGGTGCCTAACCCCAGCCACTGCAGTCTGTTTGACAATCAGCTGATGAAAAGCTCACAGAGCCGTTGCTGCTTGTGACCCCTCCCCCACGACAGTAACACGGCAGTGTGGACATAACGATCATGCATGAACCCACGTAAAACAACCAAAACTTAAGTTAAATCTATATTGCAATTCGCCACTCTTATAGTCTTCTTTTGCAGTATTCACACATTAGTGGAAAAGTGTCTATACTCACCTATTGTGGTTACTGTTGAACTTCTTATTACGGAATTTCCTTTGCCTCTGGTAGTTCGTGTTCTGGTTTGATGGAAATGTGGAAGCATATCCATGTTCACACTCTGTCAAAGGAAAGCAGCGATATCTGGTCACATTTGTGCACAGTGTCCGTGTTTGTCAACAGTCCGTATTTAAATTAGACCGCTTTTTAAATGCATATCAAATATTTATAAAAGAAACTACCTCTTTCTCTCCTTTCTAAATATTCGGCAGCTTCCAGTAACCGCTGTATATTGATCATCTGAATGGCCGTCATTCTTTAACTGGGACCGAGGACGTCGGTTAATGGGCTTCCCCCGAGGCTTCACAAGGTATGCAGTGACGGGTGACGTTTTCAAATAGGAAAGACGCTACGGTTAATGTTAAAGTACACTGCACGTTTTCTTCAGTTTTTTTCTATTTCTGCTGGTTAAGTAGCAGTGTATTGAACGCCGAGTGGAGGGAGGAAATCCAGCGTATCCAAGCTAGCGGGCTATGAAAAACCTTTGCAAGGTATTGAGATAAGAAAATTTAAAAATGCTTGTATTAAAGTAGTAAAAGTTTCTCGGACACGCAATCGTATTTTTATCTTACAAAAAAATTGTTAAAAAGATGTTTTTAAATCCCCCGAGGGAGCCCAGAGCCAGCTGAGATGACGCTGCTGCTCGTTTCCTCCCTCTCCTCTCCACTCCTCTTCTCTCCTGTTTGTTTACCTCGTTGTACAGCTGAAGGCGTGCACCAGCGAAGGAGAGGCCGGCTTCGCCGACATGCATTCTGGGGGGCTGAGTCATTGTGCGTTTGTCCGAAATGCAATATACAGTATTTATTTTGACTTTGCTTTAACTCTTGCTGATCATCCATGAATAAACTGCCATGTTTTCTAGTATGTTTATATATATTATAATTTTAATCTAATTAAAATTAATTAGCTGAGCTATGATAGACCTGTTGTGCATTTAATGTGTACTTTCCAAAATATGTTTCTAAACATAGCGTTCCCTGTCCCAAATGACTTAATCATGGAATTTGACAAAACAATTATCGTTATTCCCGATTCCCGACAAACGATTTTGTTCAGAACCTAAACTGCTTTTATAACTTTTGTAGGCCGGGGAAACAACACTAATGGTATTTACTGAGAAAACCTTTTTCTTCCGCTGATGTCCTGCATTTCCCACGATCCACCAGGGCCTTATAGTATATTTGCCAATCGGCGGCAGGCCCAGCAACACATGACGTCGCCACAAAACGGGTGTCCGATTGGTGAGTGGCTTTGACAGGCGTAGGAGGTTGAGCTCGCACCTGACCAACCACAGCGCAGCTTTGCGCCATGTGGAACCCAGTAGGGCACACCCACAAATAGCAGGAAGCAAACAATCGAAAGCTGCGGAGAAGCGACTGCAAACTCTCACCGTACATCCTCGTAGATGATAATGATTGTCTGCAGAGCGAAACAGCAGAAACGTCTCACTGTACACAGATAGAGACGTTCATAAACGTACGCCAGAATATCCATCTGTATTACGTTGACATAAACGTTAGACGGTATTAATAATAATTTGTAAAATAAACTATTCTACTAAGTGAAGTAGATACAGTATATAGCAACCGCTGTTAACCACAGTTTACAAGGCTACGAATGTCTACGCAGTTCAAAATTCAAAACACTCGTCAGATGCCAAATACACTAAACGACTACAAGATCTTTTGCCTGATATAAATATATACGTATATATTGGTTATACTCGGTGTTATTTCTGGCCTTTAAACTTTCTCTTCCCCTGCCGAGGCTGCAGGGGCACGATGACATCATCTCTAACAGAGTTGGATGAGGCTTCCGTGTGGTCAGTTTTATCGTACCGTAGTGGTGGCCAACACATAAACCCACGTCTTTCGGTCACATTTATGCGTGCAGCCAGTATAAATGACTGGTTGTTGACCAAAGTGCTGTGCAGCGAAAGCAAAGCGACGCACGGCAGGGACCTTACACGCTGCAGGAGAAAAATAAAAGCCAGCACATTTAAAAGGCTGCCTTAACTGCAGTGAGTGACCGATAAAATCCTGGTGCCTGGGGCTTAAAACGGACAGCGGTGCTTAGTTGAATGAACTTAGCGCTTTGTTGTCCGAGCCTATTGATAATAAGGTATTTTCCTTGGAATTTTGAAAAACTCAATCAAAGGTTGAACAAATTAGACTCACTTCCGTCCTTCTTTTCACCACTCTCGAGGAACCGAGCAGCCTCCAGTAAAACTTGTACATTTTTTAGAAAAGTGTTGATCTTCTCCATATGTGAGTCTTTGGAGGTGAAGACATCATTGAAGGGACAACTAGACATCTCGAAATTCTGCTGATCCAAGAAAGACGCATCGGAATCAAATAACTCCTCACTCTCCAGACTTCTCCTCTGATTTTCACTCTGGGCCATGTTCCTCCTCGGTTTATTCTCCTTCTATCCTGAGAAGCAGTCAAGAGTGGGGCAGCGGTTGGAGTGGGAGCCGATTTGGCAGTTGCTCTTTTCTCTATTTTCTATTTCATGAATGTGGGTGTTAATGTGGAGAAGCGACCAGTGTGAGTAGAGGTGCATGGGAAAAGTGCACGTCCCCTCTACAGTCGGAGGAGTTGCCGCATGGTCCCTATGCCCGCCGGTTTATCACTGATTTTAAACATGTTTCTATGCCCTGTTTTAAATTATTATCTGTTCTTTATTTTATTTCTATGCCCTGTTTTAAATTATTATCTGTTTTATTATTTGATGTAAAGTGTCCTTGAGTGTCCTGAAAGGCGCTTTTTAAATAAAATTTATTATTATTATTATTATTATTAAAGAGGTCTTCACCAGTTGTCCGGTAGTCAGGGGTAAATGCCTGAGGGAACGCTGCGAAGACCAGCTCACGATGATACTGTAAATTTTGAATCCTTGACTTCGTATTTAACAACAGTTTTTGATTTGTCATTTTAAATAAAAGTGTCATAAACCCAACACTTATATACGCGTCACCAACAACTAAATATTAACTTAATAAAAGAATAAAGGGAATATTAAATTAAAAAATTGAAACGGAAAAATAAAAATAAATAATAATAAATTTAACCTTACTTTAATAGCAGCATTAGCAAAGAGCCACTTGATTTGAAAACAATAAAACAATACTGGCATCACTTTGATTCAATCTAAATGTGTTTTTTTTTTAACACAAAGTTAAGAAGAAAGTGTAATTTCGTTAAAATGTAATTTATTGTTTCTAGAATCAAGATAATAAGGAATTATTGCATAAAATATAATATTAATAAATAATCAGTATTTTAGCTAATATTGTGTTTGTATTTTTGTGTAAATAACAAAATTGAAAAAGTGGTTTGTCAAGCCGCACTACAAACTATACTCCTAACATAAAACAAGATGTCAAGAACTGTCAAACGGATGTATAGGTGGGCATAATAGTATCTTTAGTAATATGTGACATGTGAGTGTAATTATCATGTCAAAGAAATATAATGGCGTTATATCGAAGATGTTATGGGCTTCGAGCATCTTGTAAAGTGCGAGAAAAAAAAATTAAATGTTGAGATATGAAATGTAGCACTGAAGGTATACCTTGACACTGGCAGAAAGCTGAGCTGACCAAGCTGCTATTGTGTTGTCAAATGTGAAAACATTTACAATGTAGTAAAGCTGTTAAAATAACCAACTCATAACTCAACACAAACATATTCAGAAACCTGAGTAGTTGAAACTTGAAAGATATAATAGTAAAAGCTCTGATGAATGTGTCTGCTGTTTCTCCTGGCTCTATAGTAGACTGTGTGTGTGTTGTCTCTTCATATCCCTCTCTGTCAAGTTCTTAGCCTTGATCCTGTGCCATTGTCAGCAGGCCTTTAGCAAAGCTGTTATCAAAACGTGAGTCCATTCTGAACCAGAACATGTTAAGGCAGGGGCCTGTATTTAGTGAAGCCCGCTCCTCTGCCACTTCAAAGAGTCAACAGTAGCTTGGATCGTTTGATGTAAAGTTCACAGAGACAGAAACTTTCAAGTCCAATGCACAGGGGAATATCTGAAAGTTCCTCCCACCCCTGCTCCAGTTCTCCACCCACTGTCAGGGAGGTCCGTACAGGAAGGCGACACGTTCAAGAGTGACCCTGCTTCGAGTTTCAAAGGTTCCAGGTTCCTGACTTATACTTTGCCTTCGCTTGTTTTTGTCAACTTCCCAATTCAACTTGATGGGACCAGTTATTAGATCCTCGATGTATTTCAAGTATTTCTTGCCGTGATTGTATTTCCAAACCTTCATCTTCATTACAATGTCACAGCAGGTCAGCGGTCCAATAGGTCACAAGTCACAGTTGGACTCTTCAGGTCACATGTTACAGAGTGGGTGAAAAAGAGCAATGTTTCATAGCAGGAGGGAGTCACATGTGTCACATGAGGCTGCTGTGGTCTCTGTGGGGAAGTTAAGATTTAAGAGACACCATGTAGTCAAGAGGTATGGATGTCCTACAGAGACATTCTTATGGCATCTCTCTACAAGGGCAGGTGGAAAAAAACCCTTGTCAAACTGTCATTTGGAATTCAGGCAGCTCCATGGCCATTAGACTAAGAGGCATCACCTTGTGAAAGTAAGGGAGACGGATCATCGTAAAGACCCTCAGCTGAGACAGCGATCTAGGTCAGAAAGACTATTCCCAATATTTACAATGTTATCTCTTCGTGAAACTGTTTGCAATATTTTGGTAGCAACTTCATGAAAATGGTATGAAACTAATGACTCCAAGTAGTTAATCTATATATTTTTTTTACCATGTAAGGGAGTACCAATTCCATCATTCTGATGTACAGTGTTAAAACAACAATGGAAACTAGATGAATACATGGTCACATGGCGCTATAGAACCCTTTGTTTACATTTGCTAGTTGTTCACCATACATGGATTGTGCTACATTTGCTTTCTTTCGTTTGTGTTGTTTTTGGGGTAGAACTTTTTGTCCCTCATTATGGCTCCCAAGCATAAGTCGAACTCTTCTAATGTTTTTATGTCCTAGATTATGATGTTACCACTGTGATAGTGTAGATGAGTGACGTAGGTACTTGTGTACAGTAGGTGAGTTCCAACTCACGGTGAAAATCGAGTTACGTGGCACCATAGGAACGGAACTCTGACGTAAGTTGAGACGTATGTCTGATAAGAACCAATCTCTAGGCATGTTTGTCTGCAGTTAGCATTACTGGTGTCTAAGTTCTTTGTCTGAACTAAAGACCCAGGAGTCACAGCTAATTGTTCTCCTGGGGCGTCTTCACTGTAGTCAGCCACTGCACAACAAAATCATATGATGGTAATTACATACAAAAACCTGCAACTTTGAACAGTGCTGACTATTTAATGTGGTATTTAGATGTATAATGTGGAGTTAGGTGGTAGGGGGTAGTCCTAAATAAATGTAGCCTGTGAATGTAGCCATTTGTTTTAGTATGCCAAGTGCAGGCACAATGGGCAGTTAGAGAGAGTAACAAATCAAAAAAAATAAAGAGGTGAAATGAGATGACCTTTAACTCTGATCTCTGACCAACTGAGTCCATCTCTTTTTTTGTCGTCCTCCGATCGATATCACTGTGGAAATTACCCCTTGTCACTTCCATTTAAAACTTAACAGACTCTGTTGACGGGCTATAAATCCAACAACAATGTCACTCTGCATATTTCATATGTGGGGCCTCAGGGTGACGTGGTGGATGGTGCTGATGCACACAGCATTGTCACAGGTTCCCATTCTATTTTGGGCAGATGTCCTTTCTGTGTGGAATGCACACATTTTCCCCTTTGTGTGGATTGGTTTTGTTCAGGTACTTTCGTTTCTTCCCACAATAGGAAAAAAATGACTCAATGAATGTTAATGTGAATGTGTGTATCTATATTTAACCTTGCTAAGGACTAGCAACCTGTACAAGCAGAAGATGAGGAGTGGACGTGGAGTCGTCGTGCTGTACCCTATCGTTGTACTACGATCGAGCTCTGCTGTATGACATGAATAATGGTGCGTCAACAGTGAAACAAAACTGCAACAAGGAACGGGTCCAATGTGAAAAAGCAAACAGAAGCTGTATTTACCGCAGTAAGACACATTTCATTCATCACTTATTTATGATAAAAAAAACCTTACCAATTCGACTACATCTTGTTTTTACTAATACTCTACACACTAAATCGTAGAGTTGTCTTTCTGCTGAGCCTTTTACTGCTTTGACCTGCTATGGTTTTCTTTTCAGGGCTTTGCAGAAAAACACTTCTGCTTTCCATTCGCTTTGTACCCAAATGACCTTGGCCTGCATAGTCCACAAGGTGGATCAGTATAAATCAAGTCGAGCACATTGACGTTACCTTATTTTATTTGATAAATGAGTATCAAATGCAACAGATGCTTCAGATTGCTAATAATATTCAAGTCTATACATAAGACCCTAATAATATTAATAGGACTACATACATTAGTAACTTAAGACCCTAATAATATTAATAGGACTAGTAAAACTTGCATCATCCTCCTACAAGCCCTCTTTTGTTTTTGCCTTTGTCAACGGGTGTGGTTAACCAGGCAACTGAATGATACCCTCATCGTAACCTTTGTGTTCCCTTCTCATTGAGTCGATGAGCAACAATAGATATTTGTTCTCTGTGGGAGGTCAGCCCTGATCACACAAACAATGAATACACGTCCTTTCTGTTGACTTCTGTCCCCAGGGATCAATTACTGTAACTGTTTGTAAATCAGCACATAGACCAACATGCATGTGCACACATCAATCACTCCAATGTGTAAATCCCAAAAGTGGATTTGTCCCAGAGACTCAGCAGCTGACATTGCATCTCATTTGATTCCTGTTGACAAAACCCACCAGGCAGACAAACGTGGAGGCAGCACAGGTGTCTGTGACTGACAGTCACTGACAGTCACTGACAGTCAGAAAGAAGAAGTACGTCTTTCAGGGAAGAGACCGGGAATGTGACGAAGCATGTTTTGGTGGGAGCCTCTTCCCCTGATCTCCTGTTGACACCACAGATAATGCTACTGTTAGTGTGTCAGTGTTCCCAGCAGTCCAAAGCTGTGCTTAGTCAGGGCTTTTCTAACGAGATAATCAACTGTCATCCACCAAGACTCTGATCTACAGAACTACAGCCTCTTCAACCACAAAGACATTTTTCTTTTGTCTTTGTTCTAAGATATATTTGTTGTTTTTTACCTTTAATAAAGTATAAAAAACACAATTGTCTAACAGAGACAAACAGTCTTCCTCGAATCACTGCTAATGTTTATACTGCTACTTTTTTTGCTTTTTGCCTCTAACCTTTCATAAAATGTACCCTCAGTGTCCTGGGATGACAACAAATACTCAAACTACTCCCAGCATTTTTTTTCTGCTGATGAAACACTAGGTTGGATGAAACATAAATCTGTTAGACGACAGACTGGTTTTGCCCCTCCTCAGGCGTTTGGCCTTTGGCTCCTGGTCACCATTGTTTGCCTCTGTTCCCAGGCACTGACATCTCATGACAATGGCCGCAGCTTGAAAGAGGAAAGTGAGAGCATACGAGCACAAATCCATGTATCCAAACATGTACACAGACATGAGAAACAAATAAATATTGGGTGTGGACCAAACTAAAACAAAGAGCAGAGGTTAACGAACCAAACACAAAATCACGGATCATACATACATACATACATACATACATATATATAA